ATTCCAGCTAGAAATTTATCTACGCTAATTTCAGAGCTAAACTTGTGTAATAAAACCGCATCATCGACTGCAATTTTCGCTGTTCGCGTGCCGTTGTTGCCAATGTTGTGAATGCAACTCGCTTCGCATCGGCCAACTCTTCGGAACTCTTTTCTTTTTTTTTTTTTTTTTGGGCTCTTAGGCCGCAGTCTTGCACTTTGGCAGTCTTCGCATGAACGCCTCCAATTTCTCATAGAACCCTGGCTTGTATCGAGAGGGGGCCTGGCGTTTGGTTTATGGCTTATGCGCCGCCGTTTTTGGTCTATTAAAATGATTGCAGTATTTACGTTGCGCTTTTCAACCATAATTTGTATTTGCTATGCTCATCATCATCATCATTGAGTGTCCAGCATCGTTTTTTTTTTTTTTTGTTGTGTTTTTTGATATTTTTGCATTCAATGCACTCGCTTACTTTGTATCGTTGCCCAGCCAGAGCCAGCGTCAGAGTCTGAGTCTGAGCCAGGCCAAAACTGAAGGCAGCCTCAAGCATTTAGCTCTCAATGCTGACCCGTTCTCTATGCTTTTCTATTGTTTATCTACGTCGCGCCAGGCACAACAACAGACCCGATGCCAGGCCCATGTCCATGCCCAAACCCAGGCTCAGGTCCAGGCCCAGGCCCAGACCCAGGCTGGCCTTTTTGACTGCTTCTCGCCTGCTTATGCGTTAATATTTCTGGCTTATCGCCGGTGGCGTCACATTGGCGTATTTACAATGATTATTGATCGCTTAATACGAATTTGTGTTTTATTTTTTATTTGGCCCGTCTGCTGTTTATTTGTGCAGCTTAGCGATGTGATATTCTGCATTAAATGGGCCCGGTTTCAATTTCTGTTTGTCTTCGGCGCAAATATTTGAGCCAAGAGCTCCCATGATCAATTACAGCTGAGCTGTGGACAACTCTACTGACAACTCGCAGATAATGTCAACGGCATCGTCGCGCCTTTACAATTTGTCTGCGTCATGTGAAAGTCCATTATGGTGAGCGGCAAAACTTTCAATTTCACAAAGTCCCCATACACACAGTCGTCATTCAAGCTGATGATTATGATACGATGATGTGCGGTACCCAAGATATTACACTGCATACTTACATACGTAATTACGCCAATCGTTGTGCGCTTTCCATGCATCAATTCAATCGTCTTTGGCTTACTTGGCTCACATTAATATGTCTGAAAATCCCAGAGAAACCATACAAAACAATTTAACACGGTCCGACTTGGAGTTACCCTTTGATAGGGCCTGAACGTGATAAGAAACCAAAAGAAATATGAATGAAAATATTCATGTTATTGCTGCACTTACGTTCTAAATATTATATATTATGTAAATCAGTATATGGAATCGAATAAGTCTGGTCCCAGCTGGGTAAGTTGGACAAAGAGCTGTGCTAGACAAACTTAGCCATATCAGCATATATATATATAAATAAATATATCACTTAAGATGTAGGCAGCCCAGCTGACAGCCTCTTTTTTACAGGGTATATATAAAAGTCAAAAAAAGTACAATCAAATTGAAACTACAAATTGCAGCAAGTTGGCACAAGAAATGAAAGAAAAAAGTGAGTTCAAAGTCAAAGACCACGCCCACAATGCGATTGAGGACAATGAACTCAAGTTGTAGCCCTTCAGATTGGACCGAAAGTGTAGCATTAAATAACCTGTTTAAGTTTGGAGTTTTTTGCCCGCACTTCCGTTTGCTGCAGAAGTCTGCTAATTTTGACAGATTACAAGGCATTCACTGTAGCCCCAGGCCACGGCTTGGGTAAGCCACCAGCAAACACTTTAATCAATAGCTCGCTGGCAGGCGATGGTTTTATGGTATTTTCGGGCCGTAGCTGCACATTGAACTGCCATAAATTCGGTGAGCTTCAAATGGTGGTGCTGCCCAGTAAGCCACAGTAGCCACCCCGCTGCTTTCAATTACGCGCAGAACTCCCCTCCAAAAAAAAAAAAATAAAATAAAGGAGCGAAAAATAAAAGTTGCAAAGAATTTATGAGCTGCACGGGCGAAAGCATTTACGAATCTGCATACAGAAACCTAAAGAGCGAACCGCAGACGACGCCAACGATTAAGCACCGCAAATCAAAGGCAAAGCCAAAGCCATAGCCAAAGCCGCAGCCACAGCCACGGCCAAAAGCAACACAAATATCCGTAAACGAAACCGAAACCGCGGTAGCACCGGCAGCAATAAAAAAGAAACCCCGGCAAAAGTCAAATGACAAATGCTCGCACTTAAGAGTTTCGGTTAAAATGTCGCTGGCCAAAACCGAAAAGCAAACATAAAGTGTTGAATGCTGGCGGAAATCACTTGAAACCGAGTATAAATCAAAGGAAACAATAATGGAACACACCAGGATCACGGAAAAACAAAGAAAACAACCAAATATCAAGTGGGGAAAATGGAAAATGGCGATTGCAGCTTCCGCTTTGGCAATGATAAAAACAAAACAAAAACAAGAAAACAAAAATGTAAATAGTGTAAAAAAGTATCCTTAATCAAAAACGCGTGGAAAAAGTCAAAGCCATAAAGAGTAATAAATGAGTGAGCAATAGTGCACAAATGCATGACAAACACACCAGCACACACACACACGGACACTCACACAAAAAGCTGCAAACGGAATGCCAGGACAAAGGATACAGGTCCTGACAGCCAGGCAGCCGGCCAGCTAAGTGAGTGATTTATGGGCCTCTGTCAACGTCTCTGCCTTGAACTTGCGTCTGCTGCACGTCTGGACAGGCTTAATTGGTGCGGCTTCCTACAACCATTTTTCCAGCTGTCATTACTCACTGCATCGCTTTTCAAGGCAATGCAAAGAGGAAAATGCTTGTCTATGGCATACCCTGTCACAAGCTGCTCACAAAATTGCAGCTCGAGTTAATGACAGCTTATGCTCGGCTGGTAAATTCTAGTAAGCCTCCTAATCAATCACAGAAGTAGGTCGTGGAACTGAAACTACACCAAAGCAACGATTTAACTAGTTTTGAATTATAGCGACCAAAGTGGGAAAAGTGCACTCTCTCCAAAGCTGCTATATGCTTACTTGAATTCAGTTCAGTATTCGGGTTCGACCCCTCGAATAGTGGATGGAATGTGTATTAGTCAATGAAACATCATTAAACTGAAGAAATTATATTTATTAGACATATTACTATTTACTATGCTAAGAATTACTTAAGGTTTGTCAGTCCAACTTCTTTCGCTCTATCTCTTAGAAAACAATGATTAAGCCCATCATAAAGACCTAATCAAACATCAAGCTAACCGATTTCACTTTGTTTCTCAAAGAGCAGAACAGTCCATTTCACATATCCCTTGAGATAACGCATAGAGCATAATTAGAAAACATTTTACAATTCCCACACGCTTAATGCATAGACAACATTTGCTTAACTAGACGGTAAAGGGGTATGGCTTGGCCTACCCGATTGCCATTTAAGGGATTATAATTTTTGCATTGCCCGAAAAACTAAAAACTTCAAGCGCAAACTTTGCAGACAGTTTTTGTGCCATTTTGGCTCGACATCGGTGGGAATTGTGATGGTTTTTAGTTTTCAGTTTTTATTTCATTTTACGGCATTTGAATTCAAATGCGCTTTTAAATCGGCTTAGTTGGGCGAGCTGCTTTCATGTTCCTGATGGCTTAAATTAAATGCGCTCGCGCGAATCCTGCCCAAAAAATAAAAACAAAAGAATACCTGAATACCTCGTCAAAGGTGCTTAAATAGTTGGGCAGCATTTGCATTTTTTGAAGAACTTCAACGGATTTAAGAGGAAGCACACCAAAAGCTGCCTTCTGACCGTGAGCTAAAAATATGTCTAATCTAATCAGCGTCATTTTCACGCCCAGTTTCAGTGCAAAACAGGTTAAGTTTTGAGTAATCAGTCTTTGACGCATCTCGACGCAAAAGCAATTGTTTTTGTTAGACAAATAGACGCAAACGTAATGTGTTATGTCTACTTATAGCCAAACACGAACGCATTTTCCAACGAAACTTCGCAGTTAGTACTTAGTTCTAGTTCCTACAGATCTACGAGCTGAAACTACCGTGGCACGTGTCGAAAAGTTTCTAAGTTGAGAAGTTTTATTTATTTGCTTATTTATGGGATATCCCGGAGCCTACATTTTAGTTTTGAGATTTCTAATACTGTCGGAAAATCCAAGAGAAGTCTATAATAATGAGAAATCTATAACCGTATCCTGAATGTGAAAAATGGAGACTTCTTTAAATTTTGTTGTTAATTTCAAATTAAGTTTAAATTTTCTAAATTTATTTATATTTTTTACAGTGAATTCAGATTTTAAAAGTTTTTTTTGTTTTTAATATTAGTAAAGGCAAATAAAGCGGGGCAGCTTTTCAACATATTTAATTTTTACCACATTTCGTACTTTAATTTCTCAACACCAAAACACTCGAACTTTCCTAGAAACACAAAACTGTCAAAAAAAAACCCAATCACAGGGACTAAATTTAGTTCTTGGGCTTTAATCGAATTGCTAAACAATAGCGAAAAGTGTTTGCCAAAAATAAACTGGCGCTCAATAAAGGCTGACAAACGGCCCATCATCAATTATAAGGCAACAATTGTATGCCCATTAAAAAGAAAGAATGAAAAACAAAAACAAAGTGAAATACGACATAAATATCTGTTGCTTATAAATAAAAGCAGAAAGTTTAAACACTGACACCGGCTGACAGTGGCGTTGGCCACTTAATCAAAATTCAGACATGGGCAAACAATTCGCATTCAGTTCTGGCCCAGATAACAACAATTAGCCCCATCGCCCCGGCAAGTGGCAGAAAAGCCCCAACTTAGAGCCTGCCTACAGTGGCGATTTATGTGCTCTCTAGATAACAACTGGCGAAATTGCCTGTACAAGTATTAAAAGCGCCTCACTATTAATATAATAACTTAGTAATATCTATTAGCCAGAAGCGTACGGCGTACGTCCGCGAACTTTTCGCGAAATAGTTGTCAGTGCGAAGGCCCAGCGACTGGCCGTGAAAACGCATAGCTCAAAAAAGAGTAGAAAATAAAGTGAAAACTCGTGAAGTTCGCGCTTCAAAATTATGGATATCCTTTCGGCTCTATTGGGATTATTTTCAATTGGATTTGTGGCAACAGCCAGCCTGAATATGGATTTAAGCCAACAACAGCTGCAGTTGGGTTAGTTTTATTTCTCGCTTCCCAAAGCTTGAAACAATAAAGATCCTTTGATACAATAAAGTAGTGAATGAAATATATAAATATATAAACAAGAAACTCAAATTTTTATGATTATTATTTAATCAACAGAGTTTTTTTTACGGAACGGAAAAAATAAATATTTTTATATTGTTCGTCAAACTCGCTAAAAATTTAAAGTCTCAACTAAACGAAGAGTTCAAATTCCCAATTGTGATGCAATAAATACTGGACTGGAAAATTTGATTAAATTATTATAGTAATACAATTTGTTTGTTTCTTCTGGTTTTGTGAATCAAATAAGGCGCAAATGCCTGAAGTGTTGAAAAATTTAAAAACGAAATGTTTTACGATTAGTTACAAGCTCTAAATTCTCCTTATCTAAATGCCACACAATGACTAATTTAAGCAAATGATATGAACCCAATCGAAAATAAAAGTTTTCCTAAGAAATATGCTTTTACAAGCTATAACCAAAAGGTTACTTCAATAGCCTGCAAATATATTCCTAAAATACCTATTGATATGAAATCGGTTTTGTAATAGATGGAATCTTGCTAATTTATATAAAATTTGTTGTCTCAAATAACTCTTCCACAGTTGGCAATGGTTCATATAGCTCCGTTGATGCCAGCCCCAACTTTAACGTCACGCTCAATCTGACCGACAGCAACTGCCCCTCACTGTTGAACGCGGATTCCTTAAGCCAAACGGAGCTGGTCAGCCGCCTCACAAGCAACTGTCGATATGATCGCCTGGAGCCGCCCATAACGGTCAATGCTACCGGCGAGATTGTGCCCCTTTCTGTGAACGCGCGCTTTTATATCTATGCGCTGAAGGATCTGGACTCAAACGACTTGCAGTTCATGCTGCAGGGATTGCTGCAGCTGCGCTACAACGACTCCCGCTTGGCCTTTTCCAACTATGCGCCAAACCGCGAGCAGCCAATTGTGGGTGATGGCAGGCTGAGAAGTATGCTTTGGGTACCCCATGTCTTTCTGGCAAATGAACAGAGCTCCAATGTGCTGGGCACCAACGAAAAGGATCAGCTGACCACTATTTATCCAGATGGCACGGTACTCCTCTCGACGCGCATACAGGCTACGTTGTACTGCTGGATGAACTTCCAAAAGTTTCCGTTTGACGATCAGAAATGCACCACAATACTGGAGAGCTGGATGTACAACACTTCGATGCTGCAGCTGCACTGGGAGCCCACAAATCCAGTAAGCTTTCACTCTCAGCTCCAGCTGACGGAATACGATCTGTACGGTTGGGTGACCAATGAGTCCATCACCATCTCAGACGCCTATACCATGTCACATGGCGCCCTGATAGGTAACTACAGTGCGCTGAGCTTCAGTGTGCTGCTCAGCCGTGAGGTTGGCTACTATGTTATAGACTATTTTGTGCCCTCCATGATGATAGTGGCCATCTCGTGGGTATCCTTCTGGCTGCAGGCAGATCAGACTCCGGCACGCTCCATGCTCGGCTGCTCAACTTTGCTCTCGTTTATCACGCTCTCGCTGTCGCAGGAGAACAGCCTGTCGAAGGTCAGCTATGTAACCATGTCGGAGGTTTGGTTCCTTGTCTGCACCGTCTTCATCTTTGGCAGCCTCATGGAGTTCGCTTTCGTGAACACCATTTGGCGACGCAACAATAATCTGGAGCTAAAGAAGCGCACCACGAAATACATTGTACGCTCCACCTTTGTGCCCAAGCTGAAACGCAATCCGCGCAGCTTCAATCGCAGCACAAGCACAATGAGCAGCTGCAACAAGGTATGTGGAAGCAATCCAAAGAACACAGTCATCACCATCGAGACGCCCATCATCATAGGCGATGGCCTGAGCAGAGAGAACTCAGCAATAAGCTTGGAGGAGACTGATACCAGCATAAGTTCCGGCTCCACAGCAACGCTGACTGAGACGCCGACCGAGAAGCCGGCGCAAACATTTGCGACAATGACGCCCAAGGAGGTGTCGCTGTGGATCGATCGCAAGATGCGCTTCGTCTTTCCCCTCGCATTCCTCATATTCAATGCGCTCTTCTGGACGCTGGTCTACTGCCTCTGACCGGTTACCATAGGGAACACAATGCTCAAAGTCCAAATACGCCAACTCAGGAGCAGGCGGAACTGTGCTGTGATGATGCCACAAATCGTGTTGAAATTTAACAGTTTTGTCTATAGCGTTTAAGTAGTCTAGTCTATAATACCTAAAGTTGATGTGTCATATAGTCGTTTAGTGTTCGTATTTATGGATTTTATATTAAATACAATTTGTATACTCGAGCTGTGGCAACGATTTCTGGATCATGGTGGGTTGGGGCTCAATCTACAAGCTGGCAGCCTGCTGCACACTCAACACCTCGGTCTTAAGCCCCACGCACGTACGGAGCTGATAAATTTGTGCTTATTAGCCAGGCGGAGGCAATAAAAATAATGCCACTCGAAACAGGCTGCGGCAACAAGTTGCACAGACACAAACTGTGCCCCCATGCACGAGTGTGTGAGCGAGGGAGAGACGGGAGAGTCGCTGCTCTATTTGTATCAATGAAAAAATCATAATGCCAGCCCGCCTCTCCAAACACGGGCGCACGGCACTTGGAGTGGCTCCAGTGGATGCCACTGCTCCAACATGACTGCTGCTCATGGCTGCTGCTCAATTTTTAATTAATTGCCTATGATGAGTGTGTTGAAAAAACAGTTGGCAGCTCCTCCTGCACCCACTTCTCTGCCTAGCTGGGGAGAGAATTATTTTAAACTAGCGGCTCGGCTACTTGATAAATTAACGGCACAAGCAACACGTAAATTGTTTTTAAATTGCCTTATAAATGAACTTCAATTCAACTTGCCATAAACAATGTGAAAAAGTTGCGCATTTTATTGCGCACTGGCCGCTGCATGGCGAATTATTTGTATACCCTGTACTAATACACGAAGTGAGTTGTAAGAGCCCACAAATTCAGCTTTCTCGATAACTTAAATAAATGTTATATACTTAGTAAAAGTATAAAGTTAAAAGGGGTTAATAAGGGATTAAAATTGGGTTAATATTTCATTTAGCTTTTTTTTGTAGCCATTTTGTTTAAGTCCCACTAAATCAATTGCATTTAATATTTGGGTACGGGATAGCTTCTAGTCAATCACTGTCGATCAAAGAAGTTTTATATATATAAATACATATATGTATATGTGGGTACGAATGTGTTGAAGTAGAGCGCATCTTGGTCGAGCACTAGCGAGCTCTTCCCTTTTTCTGTGCTGCCTGATCCTCAGATGAGAATTAATTTGAAGTGCTCATAAGTCAAGGCAGTCGCTTGGACGTCATCGTCGCTGCCTTGGACCAAAAGGAAAAATTTGTTATGCAAAGCCAATATCTGGCCATCAATCTTGCAACGGTTGCAGTGCCTGCCAAACTGTAAGAGGCAGACAACTCGTTTTGCTGCCTGAGACTCCGCTGCACTGCATCTGACCGCGAGGTGTACATAATGAGATGTAATCTGTCAAAATGAAGTGTATCGCAGGCCCACAGCGACAGACTGCTACCTTTCCTCCCGACACCCCCCACACCCTCCACTCGCTTGCTGCCTGCCTTTTGATGGGGCAGCAGCACTTTGGGCTTTCAGCACAGTTTTTTGCGTCTGCTGCACAAAACTTTTGCGCCCGGGCAAGTTTATTGAACCCCACAGCGAGTGGCATGGCGAGGGCTGCTCGATGCCAATGCTTGTCGAGCTGCACGACCTGAGACCAGGTAAATCACCCCTCATTTGCGCAGCGGATGTTCCCATGTCACCTAGTTAAGCCCCACAACATGATAGATGCCTGCAACAACTGCCAACAGCTGTTTGTTGTGTATTTATCAAACTGCACCCGTTTATTAAGACCCAAATATGAACTCTCAACAGAAACATTTTTTATTGATGGCTGCTTCAGCCAATAATGGGTCAACATGCTGCACTTAGACCCCTTCAATGGGTACATCTTGCCCCGCCCCTTTCCGCCCGGACCGAGCAGAGTTCGTTTACACGCCGTCTATTTGCTTGGCTTAGCTTCCGACTCCCGCAGCTGTGAGAAATATTGGGCCAACTTCTGCCTGCCGCTGCTCCCTCCTTGGGTATGGGCTGCATAATAAGCAAGTGCTCAAGTTCAGTTTCGTTTTTTATTTCGCATTGCTGCCACATCTTTTTCATCTTGTGGGTTTTTTTTCGTCGGCCAGTCCGCACATGAGAATTACAGACATTTTCATTTATTATTATAGTTGGCCCAACCCCTCCTCCGGACTGCTGTATAATTTGCAGTTAAGTGCTCGGCCCATTCTCCCACATGTCCCCAGCTTTTGAAGCATGAAAAAAAGTGCCGACCACCAGCAAAAAATTTTTGTATAAATCAGAAGTATAAGTAGAAATATATGTAAACAGATAAGACTAGACAAAGAAAACTGTAGTTAATGCATTCCTATAATTATACCACATGCCTAAAAGTACAGGGTATATTGTGCCGTCAATACAAGTAAAAACTTTGTTGGTTTTCAGCTTATGCTTTGCTTAGGGAATTATTTTCTATATTGATTGAATTTTACTGGAATTGGAATTAGAGATAGCATAGTTTACATGTAGTTATTTATTAGATAAATCCGGAATGTTCTGCAGAGTGTTGCCTTAGTCGAGTTGAGTGTGTTGACAATGGCATGTTGAGTTTTATTTTTAGATGGTGGGAAAATTCTATTTCAAGTGGCGTTCAAGAGATTGCCTATCTAAACAAGCACAAGTAACCAGAACAAGCAACGCCAGCAACAACAACAACAACAACAACGAGATCAACAACCACAATGCTTATTGTTGTTAGTTTTTGGTTAGCCAATTTTGAGCGTGGCGTTGGGTTTGGTACCAGTCCAGTCACGCTCTGTGGGCGCTGGTTCAGAAGTCAAGTACAACCGTCGTCCATTTGGCCGAGGCGTGCGAATGAGCTCAAGTCGGCGACTAGCCCCGTATGCAATCAATAGCTTAACCGGGCTCTCTTTATGACTAATCGATGCCTTAAATAACTGGCCAAAAGGGCTAATTTGGCAAAAGCCATGTCCAAATTAAATGCACGTAAAAACGGATTAAGTTGCCAAGCGGGACCAGACCAGTTGCCAGTCGTCCAGCTAAGCTGCATGCCTAATGAGCCGGCGAGGAAGCGTCGCTGTGCCAGCTGCCCTGTCTTCTGTCCCCCATACCCACTACCATGGTTCAATTCAGGTATTTACATGCTGCATGCCACAACCTATTAACAAATTGCAAACAAAACTTTGCCGCACAGTAGCAGCCGTAGGTTTAGGCCAAGTGGGCGTGCATACGAAATTACGGTACCAAATAAGGAGAGGGCTTTGCAGCTAATTTAATAGAATGTCGAACGTGGAACGCAATGCGTTAATACCAAGCACCTTGCCAGCCCCTAGGAACGCTGTGGTCGCTTGCCTTGACCCACGATCATGATCATGTTCACGATCATCATGATGACGCTGTTGATGTTGATGCTGATGCTGATGATGGCGCCCGTCGATTAGGTGCATGCAACAACTGCAGCAGCGACGTCAACAGCATGGCCCGTTTAGTGGCGCCTCATGTTGCCAGAGATACGAATCATTCACTTGGCTAAACCGCCCAAAGCCAAAACGTTTTGCACGTTTTTCCAATGAAGCTGCAACTGGGCGCCGCGCTCATAATTAATGAAAACAACTTGTAAGTGCAACTGGTTGTGGATGTTGTTGTTGTTGTTGTTGTGGCTATGGCTGTGGCTGTGGCTGTGCCTGTGCCTGCGGCCCTAAGTCCAATCTATTTGACTGGCCATTTAATTTGGCAAATGCCTGTACAGGTAGCCATGTGACAGCAGCGCCAATCGCTGGGCCCCCGGTTATTAATTAGTATCTTCTTATCGCTGGCCCCACTCGACTGCTACATTTGTCATAGATATATGGCGGGGGTGTGCCCCGTTTGGCCGCGACGTCAACGCTTGCCTTTCTAGCTGCTGATCTTATCGGCCAAGTCCAAAGGCGGCATGACATTATCTTAACATCCATGTGCCTCGACTGGCTTATGCAGTGCTGCGGCATATCTCGAATGCTGTGCTCATCTGTTATTTATGGCTTGAGGAAACCAATGTGTTTGATATATATAATGTTCAGTTTCGGTTTCTTTTCTTTGCCAAAGTATACAACTTGAACCACATTAACCCACTTACAATTTTATGAGCAGTGGTGCTTAACGTTAACCAACCTTACAGCATGATTCAGCTGCTTATTGGCTTGAACTGTGCTTTAATTAGACACGATATCGATATACTAAATGCAACAGCGCAAGGCCAGCGCCGAAAGACGGCGCCACCAAATGCCGCCATTGACTCCACAGTCGCGGCCGCGCCAGCCACAGACGCCGCAGCCAATGCCAGATGATAATCAAGTACAACATCAACCTGCTGCGGTTATCGCACCAAGTGCGCCCAGACAACCGCACGGATACGCTTAAGCGCAAATCATTTACTGCCACATAGCGGCTGTTGATGAGAAGCGCAGAGAGAGGCTGCACAAACAACTTAACAGCTATGACCGACAGTGGGTGCTCTTGAATTTGTAAGTACTATGTTTAGTTTACATGCCATTCGATTTATACAAATAAATTATTAAAAAATAGCATTTTATTAATAAAATATGAGTATGAAACGCAAGTGAAAAGCACAAAAAATCAAACAAATTCTTGAGAACACCGAATGAGACTGGATCTTGTAAGAATTTTTAATAAGTACCACTTGCCTGTTTCCCACAAAAAAGAGCAGTAAGGTCTATTATTTTATTTACAGGTAGCCTTTGCACATTACACACTTTAAAGTGAGTTACTTCCTTTGATTGTTGTACTTTCCCTTTGTGAATGATTCTGGAAGTAGCAGCCAGTCTTTCAGTCGCATTTTATAAAGCAAATGCAGCAGCTCTTGAGAATATATTTTGGGGCGGCTGTCGCTTTGGGTGCCCTAACAGAGCAGGCAAAACTTTTGCAGCATGCAACTTGGCAACTCGGCCATTACTTCCACTAAAGAAATTAAACATCAACAGGCTCACACACACACACACACTCACATTGCACAGACACAACAAAGTTAACTACTATGCGAGCGCAGGCAACATGAAAAAAATTAGTTAAAAGATAAACATGGCACGCCAGAAGCGCACAGACAAAGGCAAAGAAGCTGAATGTTAGGGGGGAGTATAAA